AGGGGAGAGAGGGGGGAGTGCGAGGGAGAGAGCAAGAAAGAGAGCGAGACAGCAAGAAAGAGTGACAGAGAGACAGAGACACTCACACAGAGTTGAATTTTCAGCTTTAATGGCTTCAACCATCTCCTCCCACACCAACCCAAAATGGGAAACACCCAGTAAGGTATCTTTTGCAGTGGTAATGTAGGAAACGTTACAGGAAATTTGCATACAGTGAGATCCCACAAGCAGGAGCTGATAATGCCCCATCCCCAGATCTTTTCAAAGTGATGTTGGTTGAGAAGACAAAACATTAGCCCCCGGGACACCTATTTCCCACTCCCTCCCCGCTCCACACACACCCCTCCCCCCTCCCCCCACCCCGGGTGAGGGGAGCAGATGGAGTTTTTGCCTTACAGCCTCATTTGAAAAAATTACACCTCTAAGACAACAGTACTGAATATCGCTCTCAAACCTACAGAGGGGTCTGATTCGGAGGAAAGGATGTAATCCGAGGCCTGTGACTGGCAGTTTAATGGCAGGACACAGAGGGTAATAGTGGAGGATTGTTTTTCAAACTGGAGGCCTGTGACCAGCAGGGTTCCATGGGGATTGGTATACTGTACACTTTTGTGGTCATTTATATAAATGACTTGGATGAGAATCTAGAAGGTACGTTTGCGGATGACACCAAAATTGGTGGTACAGTGGCTGGTGAAGAAGGTTATCTAAGATTACAAAGAAATCTTGATCAATTGGGTCAATGGGCTGAAAAGTGGCAGATGGAGTTTAATTTGGATAAATGCGAGGTCTGGCATTTTGCTAAAGCAAACAAAGGTAAGACTTATACAATTCGCAGGCCCTGGGTAGTGCTGTAGAACAGAGAGACCGAGGGGTTCAGGTACATAATTCTTTGAAGTTTGCATCACTTGTAGACAGGGTGGTTAAGAAGGCGTTTAGCACGCTTGCCTTCATTGCCGAGACCTTTGAGTACAGGAGTTGCGGAAGTCAGGTTGAGGTTATACAGACGTTGGTGAGGCCTCTTCTGTGTCCAGTTCTGGTTGTCCTGTCACAGGAAGGATATTATTAAGCTGGAGAGGGTTCAGAAGAGATTTACCAGGACGTTGCCGGGAATGGACGGTTTGAGTTATAAAGAGAGGCTGGATTTGTATTACTGGAGCATAGGAGATTGACAGGGACTCGATAGAGGTTTATAAAATCATGAGGGGTATAGATAAGGTGAATGGCAGGTATCTCTTCCCTAGGGTGGGGATTTAAAGACTAGGGGACATATTTTTAAGGTGACAGGAGAGATTTTAAAAAAGACATGAGGGGCAATTTTTTTACATGGAGAGTGGTTTGTGTGTGGAATGAACTTCCAGAGAAAGAGGTGGATGTGGGTACAGTTACAACATTTAAAAGACATTTGGATTAGTACATGAATAGGAAAGATTTGGAAGGATATTGGTCAGGAGCAGGCAAGTGGGACTAGTTTAGTTTGGGATTATGGTGGGCATAGACTGGTTGGACCGAAGGGTCTGTTGCCATGCTGTATGGCTCTATAACCATGGAGCCAAGTATAAACAGTGAGAGAGCCTGGGATACCTTCAATGGTTAAACATTCCACTATGAGAAATTCCACTTGGGGAGGCAATGGCCTAGTGGCATTATCACTGGACTGTTATTTCAAAGACCAAGATAACTTTCTTGGTTCGAATCTCGCCAGGGCAGATGGTGGAATTTGAATCCAATAAAAAATATCGGAATTAAGAATCTAGTGATAACTATGAATCCATTGCCAATTGTCGGGAAAAACCCATCTGGTTCCCTCATGTCCTTTAGGGAAGGAAACTGCCATCCTTACCTGGACTGGCCTACATGTGACTCCAGACCCACAGCAGTGTGGTTGACTCTCAACTGCCCTCTGGGCAATTAGGGATGGGCAATAAATGTTAGCCTAGCCAGCAACACCCTCATCCCGTGAATGAATGAATGAAAAAAAAACTGGGGATAGGTCACTCAGTAAGAATCCTCCAACCCTTTTCTCAAGAGAATCCAGACATGCACCAGGATAGGGCAGCTCCCTATGGATTGATCCTGGGAGTGTATATTTAAATGACAAAGGATACGGAGCGATCCGGTCCCATTTTACAGTCAACATTCCAGATACGATTCCAAAGTCCTCCGGTGGGAAAGAGTCATCACTGAGTTCCACGTCCAATGCAGCACTAAAGGGAACAGATACAATTGAGATGATTGAACCGATAGAGTGAAAGAAAGCAAACGCAGAGTTCAAAAGCCAACCTGATTCGCTGGGCATCCACAAAGTCCCTCAGCCATGTGGTCATTTGACACACCCTCACCCAGGCAGTTGGTAAAGACTCCTATTTCCCCACTGCCTTTCTGAACATCCCACTGATGCCACATCAATGAGGTTTGTTTGAAATCTGGTCACCATAACACACAGCAAGATCATACAATGAGGGTCTGACCGAGTCCCCTCATTTTTAATGATGTTGGTTGATGGTTAAATATTAGGTAGGACTCCGTGAACCCTCTGACAGTACTGGTCTTGTGACAGTACCTGCTGCCTCAGCACAAACCCTCCCTCAGTGCTGACCCTCTGACAGAGCCCACTCCCCTCAGTGCTGACCCTCTGACAGTGCCCGCTCCCTCAGCACTGAACCTCTGACAGAGTCTTCTCCCTCAGCGCTGACCCTCCAACAGTACCTGCTCCCTCAGCGCCGGCCCTCCAATGGCACCCGCTCCCTCAGCGCTGACCCTCTGATGGCAACTCCTCCCTCAGCACTGACCTTCCGACAGTGCGGTGCTCCCTCAGCGCTGACCCTCCGACAGTGCCCGTCTCTCAGCACTGACCCTCTGACAGTGCCTACTCCCTCAGTGCCAAGCCAGACAGTGCCCGCTCCCTCAGCACTGACCCTCTGACAGTGCCCGCTCCCTCAGCACTGACCCTCCGACAGTGTGGCACTCCCTCTCACCTGGTGCCGACATTGTAGATGTTGTACTGCAGCGTGAGGTCGCGACCTTCCACTGCGTATTTATTGAGCAGGGACTTGGAGGCTAAAAGCCTTGCACCTTCTTCGCCGCTGGCAGCTGCCAAGAACCCTACACACACACAGACCAGCAGCAAGCTCATCTGTGGTGGTTAAAAATAAATCAGAAAAAAAAATTCACAATTGCTCGCTGCTAATATTAAAGTTACAGACACCAACTTTCCCCAGCAACATCACTGCAAAAGTCCCACGTTTCTACCACCTAATTGATTGTGAACAGACAGCCCCCATCTCCAGTTTAGAGCTTCAGCATCCAGTGCGTTTTGCCTTTCAAGTGAACCTTGAGAGGGGCAGGTCTTTGAGCCTGGAGGGAGGACAGATCATTGAGGCTTGGTGGGGGTCAGATCATTGAGCCTTGAGGGAGGCATATCAGAACATTGAGGGGGTCAGATCATTGAGGCTTGTGGGGAGTCAGATCACTGAGGCTTGAGATGGGTATATTATTGAACCTTTATGGTACAGATATTGCCCCTTGAGGCAGTCAGTATTAACTCTTGAAAGGGGTAGATATTTGGCTCTTTGACCCCTGACCCTTCACCCCATTCAACGCCACGTTATAGATTATCCTGGCTTTCGAGAAAGTTGATTTAAAAACACAAACCCAAAAACCCCGACCCCCCCCCCAACAAAGGCCTGAAGAGTTTAGGGTGATGGTAGAGATTTTGGGGACGCGACGGACACTTAGACCAGCCAAAGCCCACTCACTCACCTCTTCAAATCTGCGGTAAGTAGACTCGAACTGCGCACGCGCCTGCCCACCCCTTCCCAGGCCGTCCTCGTCACCGGCGCATGCTCAAGGTGCCCTTCGCTGGCAGTAGTTCCGCTGTGCCCAGCATTTCCGTTGTTGAAAACCATGGAGTCTGGAGAGGAAGGACTACATTCCCCGACAGGCATCGGGCGAGGCCAGTCAGGTGTAGCGACGGACGGCCAATCGGAAGGCGCCACACCCTTCTCCCCATGAGAATGGGCGAGCGAAGGGCGGTGTGACGTCACACAAAACATGGGCGGGACCTCTGCGTAATTGACGTCCGCGGCGCCACGTCTTGCGGTCCATGGAAGGCGCAGGACTGAACGTTGATTGACGGCGCCTCGAAGGACGCTGCCCCGTGCTTTGATTGGCAGCTCCCGGATAAAGACGGGCCTACATTTTGATTGGCGGCGCCTTGGAAGGGGGCTGGACCATGCTTTGATTGACAGCACAGTGGAATGGGCGGAGCTCTGTTTTGATTGACAGCTTATTGGAAAAGGTAAGGTTGCGCATTGATGCAGAAATAAAAATTGCTGGAAAAGCTCAGCAGGTCTGGCAACATCTGTGGAGAGAAAGCAGAGGTACTGTTTCAGGTCCGGCGACCGTTCTTCAGAAGTTCAGTGATTTAATTGACATTGTTATGCTCCTTATATAGTCATGATTGTACGTGGCCAAATTCAGCTCTAACTCCATTTACAAATTTGCACCGTAGTGGATCAGATCTCAATGATGAAACAGTACAGGAAAGAGATAGACAGCTTAGCAGCATGGTGTAAAGGCAACAATCTCTCCCTCAAAGTCAGTGAAAGGAAAGAGCTAGCTGGTCATCGACTTCAGGAAGTGGAGGGCACTGTCCTATCTGTATCGATGGTGCTGAGGTGGTCGAGAGCTTCAAGTTCCTAAGAGTAAATATCACCATCGATTTATCCCGGTCTGTCCACGTCGACGCTACAGTCAAGAAAGGACACCAACGCCTCTACTTCCTCAGGAGGCTAAGGAAATTCAGCATGTTTGCAATGACTCTTACCAATTTTGATAGATGCACCATAGAAGGCATTCCATCTGGATACATCACAGCTTGGTATGGCAACTGCTCTTCCCAAAACAGCACGAAATGACAGAAACAAAAACAAAGTTGCTGGAAAAGCTCAGCAGGTCTGGCAGCATCTGTGAAGGAGAAAACAGAGTTAATGTTTCGGGTCCGGTGACCCTTCCTCAGAACTGATGGTGGCTGGAAAAACGTCAGTTTATATGCAGAAAATAGGGAGGTGGGTGGGGTAGGGAGTAAACGAAAGGATAGAGCCCAAAGAGACAGAAAGACAGTTGGACAGACAAAGGAGTTGCTAACGATCAGGTGGGAGGGTGAATAGTTGTTAATGGGGACTGTTAGTGACTAACAACAGGGGGGGTGTAATGGCAGGCTATGTGGTAACAAGGGTTGGTGTGTGGGGTGGGGGGCTGGAACATGGGAGAGTTTAGGCCCTAAAATTATTGAACTCAATATTGAGTCCGGAGGGCTGTAGGGTCCCCAAGCAGAAAATGAGGTGTTGTTCCTCCAGCTTGCGTTGGGCTTCATTGGAACACTGCAGCAAGCCAGAGACAGAGATATTGGCCAGGGAGCAGGGTGGTGCATTGAAGTGGCAGGCAACAAGTAGTTCAGGGTCTTTTTTGCGAGCAGAACGTAGATGTCCTGCGAAGCAGTCACCAAGTCTACACTTCATTTCCCCAATGTAGAGCAGACCACATTGTGAGCAGCGTATGCAGTAGACTAGATTCTGGGAAGGGCAGGTGAAGTGTTGCTTCACCTGGAAGGTATGTTTGGGCCCTTCGATACTGGGGAGACAGGCGGTAAATGGGCAGGTGTTGCACCTTTGCTGGTTAGAGGGGAAGGTGCCGTAGGGCTGTGGGGAGGTGATGGGGGTGAAGAAAGTGTGGACCAGGGTGTCCTGGAGGGAACAGTCCCTGTGGAAGGCGGACAAGGGAGGGGAGGGGAATATGTGTCTGGTGGTGGCATCTTGCTGGAGGTGGCGGAAATGGCGTCTGATGATCTTCTGATGTGGATGCTGGTGGGATGGTAGGTGAGGATAAGGGGAACCCTATCGCTGTTGCGATAGAATTTGTGAACGCAGTCCAATCCATCCCAAAAACCAGCCTTCCTTCCACTGACTCCGTTCACATTTCCTGCCACTTTGGGAAACCAGCCAACATAATCAAAGATCCCTCCTACCACGGTTTTACTCTCTTCCACCTTCTTCCATCAGGCAAAAGATACAAAAGTTTGGAAACACGCACCAACAAATTTAAAAATAGCTTCTTCCCCACCATTATCAGGCTTGTAAACGAACCTCTCATATATTAGAGTTGATCTTTCTGTGGACCTTTTCTGCAGCTGTTACACTATATTTTGCATTCTGTTCTGTAACCCTGATATACTAATGTAATGTATGATTTGTCTGGTTAGCACGCAAAGCAATACTTTTGTAGGTTCTGAGGAAGGGTCACCGGACCTGAAACATTAACTCTGTTTTTTCCTTCACAGATGCTGTCAGACCTGCTGAGCTTTTCCAGCAACTTTGTTTTTGTTCCACTTTTCACTGTATCTCGGTACATGTGACAATAATAAAGTCAAATCAAAAGGTTGCTGACTGAGGAGGGGACAGTTGAGTAGGTTGGTCTTTTACCCAATGCGCTATGATCTTATTGAAACATACAATTTTCTGGGGGTAACACAGTGTGGAGCTGGAGCAGCACAGCAGGCCAGGCAGCATCAAAGAAGCAGAAATGTTGGCATTCTGGGTCGGGACCCTTCTTCAGAGAAATTTTCCGGCAGGATAAATGTGGAAAAGTTGTTTGTCCTCATGGGACGGTCTAGGATCAGAGGGTATAAAAAGGGGTTGCACAGAGATGAGGAGGAATAGCTTCTCTTAGGAGTGAATCTGTGGAATTCTTTACCACAGAAGGCTGTAGAGGCTGTGGATCGATAAGAATATTCAATATTGAGATGGACGGATTTTTAATCTGTAAGGGAATCAAGTGTTATGGGGAAAAGGTAGGAAAATGGAGTTGAAAATAATCAACTCAGCCACAGAGTCATCCAGCATGGAAACAGACTCTTGGGTCCAACACGTTGGTGTCCCCTGCCCCTAAGGTCCGCCCGTTCCAGTCTGGTCCAGCCCCAAAGGCGTTCCCTGCATAATCCCCGCCCACTGAGCTCCACGACTGCCACGCATGCGCTCGTCCCCTCCGCTCACCAACGCCGCTCCACCTCTTACACGGTTCCAGCCCCTGCCAATCAGCCCTTCCGCCCCCCACCATTGGCCTACCTCCTAGAACTATCCCCGCCCCTTCCGCTCTCCCACCTCTCCCTTCCCTCCCGCGAGCGGCTCCAACGGTCCCGCACGAGGAGCCGGGTGCAGTCAAACTCACCCAACAGCCTCGGACGGAGCGGAAGTCCCGCCTTTTCGTTCCTGCGATTGGACGGACGCGGCGATACCGAGGTGGTGATTGGCTAAGGGCGACCGTCAATCTTGCGGGTAGCCTAGCGGGACGGAGCTGCAGGTTTGGTTGCGAGGCCTGGCGTGAGGCAGCAGAAGCTTCCAGAAAAGAAAGAGAAAGAAAGATTGAAAAATGTTGGGACGGCAAGTGTTGGTTTTAAGTGAGTGGCTCAAATCAGATCGTGATTATTCATTTGGTACCTTTATAAATTTATATTAATAAATTCCGTTATTACCATCCGTTTTAATTTTTTTTTTAAAATCTCCTCTCCCCAGGTCAGAATGTGAAGCGGGAGTCCGGCCGTAAAGTCCAACAGGGCAATATTAACGCGGCGAAGGTGAGGAGGCCTGGAGCTCGGACGCACGGACTACTCGAGCGCCGAGGCTGCCGCTCGGGCCTAGGCCTCTTTTCCACCGGGTGAACGGTGGTGGGAGAATCGGGCGGAACACGGCGGCTGGGCGCCTTTTAATGGGGTCTCGATGTGTTTGACGAGGCGCAGGACCTTTTATTGGTCCGTATGGGGCTTAGGACCCTTTTATTGGCTCTTGATGGAGATCAGAGGCCTTTTTGTTGGGTCTAAATGGAAATCTGGAGCATTTTATTGGGGCCCAGGACCTTTTATTGGCTCTTTCTTAGGGATTATGGGCCTTTGTATTGGATCTAAATGGGATCTCAGGATTTCTGTGGATTTAAATGGGGCTCTGGGGGTTTTGTTTTGATCTAAAGGGGATCTGCAGTCCATTTTATTCTTGATCCAAATTGTGCTGTGGATTATTTTGAGTTTAGCTGGTTGCTTGGGATAGTTTCCTTGTGAGACTCAACGGGGATCAGGATTTTTTTTCTGGGCGTCCTTGGTGGTCAAGGCCATTTCTGGAGTCGACATTGGGCTTGAGATCTTTTGTGGGGCCCAAAAAAAAGGACTTGGGACACTTTTGGTGTCAGCATATAGCCCTAAGTTGGGAGCCGGAGGGATGTTCTCAATTGCTTTGGTTTTCATTCCCCTGCCTTTAAGTAGCCTCCTGCGCTCACTGTCCGAGCCGACAGGTCAATGACATCCAGAAAGCACCAAGTCAGCCTGAAATAGCAAGAACTGCAGGAGCTGGAGGAACACAGCAGGCCAGGCAGCATCAGAGGAGCAGAAAAGTTGACATTTCGGGTCGGGACCTTTGTTAAGAACATGAAAAAGGGTCCTGACCCGAAATGTCAACTTTCCTACTGCTCTGCTGCCTGGCCTGTTGTGTTCCTCCAGCTCCACAGTGTGTTATCACCAAGTCAGCCTGAGGTTATTTTCCAAATAAAACCCAAGTAAAGGATCTCCAAAAATATTGCTCAGTACTGGTCAACAGCCCTGTTATCGGCACCTGATGTTTTTGTGGTTATGTTTTTCAGACAATCGCGGACGTTATTCGAACATGTTTGGGACCAAGGGCAATGATGAAGGTACATAAATTAATATTGGCACGTTAGACTGGGGTTTTGCAGCAACCTACCAAGATGACTCCATGTTGGGTTAATTATAAATGGACTGGGTGGAACTTGGAGTCATGTGTGAAGCGATTGATATTGACTGATGTTATTCAAACATGCTGTC